CATTACTCTATTACACTGAGTCCATCTACCATTCAACGCCTAATTTCTCCTTGAAGTGTGACCTGGTTTATTACTTAATTCTGCCATTCACAAGCACCATGACCTTAAAAGCTTTCTGAGTCTTTTATGAAATTAGGAGCCTATAGTAATGCTTTTCTAAAAGTTTTCTTGTGAGCATTAGTGGCATAAAGCTTCTAAAACTATAAGTGCCCTGGTACCTGCAGTATGATCAGAAGACAAGGAAATGCTGGCCACTGCTTTGTCCATTTTTCCTTTGCCTTGGGGTAAAAGACATGGGGACAGGTTTATGTTTATTTATTTTTTTATTTTTTTATTGTTAGGAATGATTTTATTTTCGCAAAAACAACATGAAAAATGAACCTTTCATCTTTAATGAAAAGAATCAGATTATGACCTAATTCCTTGTTTCTTGAGACAGACTTCTGATTTTACTTATCTTTTAAGTGGATTAACCAACTATGTTTTTCAATATTCCAAATGCCAATGCCATTGGTTTATGTTTATTGACCATTACTTGATAAAGAACACAAGGCTTCGTGAAAAAGTCATAGGCTGATAGTTTAAAAGCTGAATTTGTCCTTCAGATATGCTTATTTGGGTTTGAAGTGCTTCAAAATACTTTATTTACCCACATTTTCAGATCACTAAGTTCTGCATATATTCCCGTGGTCCTCGCTGACTATGGGCTTGCCCTCGTAGGGTGTACGTACACCCTCAGTCTGCCACAGTGCTGTCGCTCTGACCTGATTCACGCGTGTGTCTGACTCCCCCGTCTCTGCAGATTCTGGAGTCTGTGACTCCTGACTCTGGAAGTCTCCCATACGAACTTGGACAGCTAATTGTGACCCAGACTCAGGGATATTATCTCAACTCTGAGAATTTGTTCAGACTACATTACCCTATTTCACAACTGTGGATATTTCCTCATGGTTTTCTACTAAACCTTAAAATAGTGATCTGTGACCTTGTTTTTTGGTTTGGGGGGCTTTTTTTTATTCTCACTAGCACCATTTTTTAATGATGGAGAAATTTTCTAGAAAATGATAGCCTTTCTTTCAGTTTCAGGATTTTTTTAAGCAAGTAATCCCCATAATCACCAAGAAAGAAAATAGCAGTGGATAACAGAACACATACATAAAAATACATAAGTATGCTTTTTTCCCCTGCTGTAAAACACTGTTCAGCAAATTCAAGGGAATTGTGCGTTATGACTCATTCAAAACAGAGAATGCTCATAGCTGGATAAGGTATGTTTTAAGCTGTACTCTACTGTCTGTGTTGTTGGCAAGCTAGGAGGGAAGTGCATCTTTCCATCTGGCCTGCATTTAGGTGAGACCAGAGATTCCTGTGAATCTGTGTTTTCTGAAGAATTTGTTTGGTGATCAGCCTAGGTTGTATCTAGCACACTCGATTCTCTGCAGGCAGGCATCTTTGAACTGGGCATAATGGTGCGTGGTCCTGATGATGCATGGGTGTGAGAGGGAACGGAAAGCCAGGGCCTGCGAGGCTGGGGGAAAACAGGTGCTAGGCAAAAGCAACAGCAGGTCCTGAGGCAGAAGCGGGCTCATGGTGAGTGTCCCGAAGACCCATCAGAGGGGAAGTGAGGCTGAAATGACCAAGTGGTGAAGGACACAGGATGAGTTACGGAGGCTGGAAGTGGACAGATCACTCCGGGTCTGGAGGACACAGTAAGAATGTGGATTTTAGCAGGAGAATAAAGTGAACGGGTTTCTGTGCTGAGATCATTTCTGACTGCTCTGCGAGAACACGTCAGCAGCTGACCTCTTGACACTCTGGTGTCTCTTCTATTACAGGCAGGAACTTCTTTTTACTTTAACTGTAAACATTAACTGTGAACATTTAAGCAGCTTGGCAGAAGTTCATACCTAAAGGGAAGGATCTCTGAATAGGATCTACAGAAAATACAGATGAATATTTATTAAAGTGAGAACTGTGGTATGCAAATATTGCTTGGCTTTGAGTAAACCCACGTGCTGCTTTCTTAGCATGTTCTGTATCACAGAGCAACTTGCACTTTCATTGAGAAATGGTGTTGTCTGCATATACTTTGGAAAAAGTAACAGTTAAACTTGATATTTGCATTATATTTGGAAGGAAATGTGTTCATGTTCATTCATGAAACAATTATTCCAAAGTTGTGTTTCTAGACCCTTTGGTAAATTTTTCAGCTTTATTTAAAAAGTATGATAAGGGCCAGGGATTTAGCTCAACAGTGCGGCTACCTGCCTCACAAGTGCAAGGTCCCGAGTTCGATCCCTAGTACCAAAAAAAAAGTATAATGAAATACTTGAAGAGAGCGATTTTTGGGAATAACTCACATATACTTATCAGAGGACATATAAGAACAAAATTAAATGTTTGGTATTGGAATATCAAGGCCCATTACTATAAACATCTCAAGAAAAATGACTTTTATTTTTCATTTTTCCTTCTGTTTCCAGGAAATTAACTATTTGATCTGTTTTTAAGTGTATATCAATAAAATATAAAATTATCTGTCTCTGCTCTAATTTGTTAATCTTTTCATTCTTAATATTGCCTATCTGTACCTTTGCGCTTTTTTTGCTTTAAATATTTAAAACCTTTATTTAGCTTTTTTTATTCACGTATGTTTCCTATACAAAATAGTTACATTTGTTTCAGGGAATTGGCATCTGTATATGCTATATGTTATACATGTAATATACATACATATCATCTCTTTTTTTTTTTTTTTTTGGTACTGGGGATCGAACTTGGGTCCTTGCGCTTGCGCAGCAGGCGGCAAAACCACTGAGCTAAATCCTCGGCCCCTGCATATCATCTCTTGATCATTTTCAGTCCTTTTACCTCCCTTCCTCCTCTTGGTGACCTCTTACCCCACCTCTACAAAGCTTTTTTGTTCTCTACCATCTCTCATTTATTTTGCTTTTTAATGTATTTATACTTAGCTTACCCATATAAGAGAAAGTATGGGATATAGACTTTTTAAAGAGTTAAAGATGTCATACCATATTTATATGTGCATGCCAGTGTGTATAGCAGTGCGGCTCACAATAGCCAAGCTCTGGAAATAGCCTTGGTCAGTGCTGGTGAACCTACAACACGAGCCCCGGCAAGCTGTTAGCATTGAAAGCTCTAACAGGTTCACTGTCACAGGCCCAGATCCTCACTAGCAGAGGAATGGAAAAGGACAATGTGGAGTATACATGCAATGCAATCTTATTTGGTCATAAAGAAGAATGAAATAGTGTATTTGCAGGAAAATAGATGGAATTGAGACCATAATGTTAAGTAAAATACATCAGACACAGAAAGTTAAATATCTTGGTTTTTTTTTTTTCTTGATCAGTCTTCATGGGAATTTGCCTAGTTTTTTAAAATTATTTTTGAACAATTATTATATTTATCAGTCTTCTAATCTTATTCTTTATAATCCTCTTCTTTAAGTTTTACTCCTCCTTTTCCTACTTTCTTTGATTTTATTATGAGGCTATAAAATGTTTAGCCCTTCTTCCTTTCTACCGTTAAATTTGAGGCTCTATATTTCCCCCTGTGCACTGCTTTAGCTGCATGCCATAAATTTTGAAGAGTAATGTTTTCATTGTTATTCAGTTCTAAGTCTATTTTTATTTTTTTTTCATTTTAAACAAGAAGTTTATTTAAACAACAAGACACTTGACTTAAAGGGAAAACTATCTAGGATTCTTTTTTTTTTTTAAGGAGTAATTTACTCCTACATAAAGACAGATTGCCCTACATGTAACAGCTGCATACAAAAAAGTTATAAAATTGTCCTTGGTTTTACAATGATAAATGAAAAACATTAAAATTCTCCAATCAAACAAGGTATGCAAGGATTTTTATGTTGTTGTCTTTTCTGTTAAAACAGTGAGAGCAAAATAACTTACTGGAATATAAAGATAAGAACTGATGAGAATGCCACTAATGGAGAGAGGGAATTATTTTCACAGAACCAGTATCGCCCCATCCTGTCTCCATCTGATATCAATCAAAACATATTGTTGGCCATTTAGTTAAAAAAAAAAAAAAAGCAATATGCTTGTGCACATACACCAGATACTTTATGTACAATAAAGGAATGGGGAAGGGGTAAATGAAAGAATAGAGAAAACTATCCTGTAGTAGTCAAGATGTGGTGGGACCAAATTGCAGTTCTCTAATTGAGAATGTATTCTCAGTCTGTAAGAGCAGAGTTCTGGAGTAGAGTTCTTGCAGGTTCCCTTTTTAGTAGACACCTTCTGTCTGCTTCTGGAACATATCAGTTGTATCTTCGTCCTCCAGTTCCAACTGTGCAGGTGTGTCTGTTTCATTGATTGGCTGCCCATCAAATAGGAATCTGATCTGCCTCATTGACAAACCCTGTCGTTCACAGTAGGCTTTCATTAGTTACTAAGTGGTGTAAGCCTCTTAATCTTAAACTGCACCACAGAACCATCCTGCCTCGCCACCTTCAAATTAATATGATCATTGGTCTCAGTCTTGACCACTTCCTTGGGCTTTTCATCGGCCATAGCTAGCGCCCGAGTCTTCTCAGAGGCCGCTTCACAAAAGAGGTACCAGGTCGGCACAGAACTAGCGCACAAGCAGCTCCAGGAGCGGCAGAAAGAGGCGGCAGCGGTGGCCGAGGGAGAGGGCGCAGGCATGTCGTTCTAAGTCTATTTTTAAATGTTCATCATGTTTCTTCTTTGATTCTTGAGTTGTTTAGTAGTGCCTTTTTATAGTATCCAATTATATAGCTTTAAAACATTTTTCTTTTAGTTGTTGATTTCTTACTTAACTGCATTTCAGTCATGTGCTCATAAAGAATGTCTTCCTTCTTGGATAGAGGGTTCCATAGATACCCTAGTATGTCTGATATGGTCAGATGAGGATAAAGAATGAGCCATTCCTTCCCTTCACTCACCTGTGGGCACGGGATTGCTCTGGTGATTTTCCACGTTTACGCTTAGGCGTTCGTGATGCCCAAGGTGGCAGATCAGTGGTTCCCATACCAGTGAAAGACAAAATGAGAGGCACCTGGAGCGGAGGAGCCTGACCACGGGGGAGGCGCCTGAAGTTGGAGGTGCCTGGTCCTTGAAATACTGGAGGCCTGAGTTGTGTTGAAGCTCTTAGGGTTGCTCTCCCCGCTGCCTGTTCCTGCTATCGTCCTGTGATCTTCAATAAACATAACTACTTACTACTTACTACAAGGTATACTCTTGCCAGTTCTTTCCTTGATGTGCAAAAGAACCTGAGATTTTGGCCCACTCAGCTGTAACATATCCATTAAATTCTCCTTGGAACTATGTTGTTTACATTTTATTTATTTTTAAATTTTTATCCATTTACTCAAGAAACACTGTGGCATATTGAAATTTGCCAGTGAAGTTGTGAATTTTTCCATTTATTCTTTTCCTTTCAATTTTTATTGTGTGTATTTTGCAGCTCTATTTTGAGCTGTATTTTCTTGGTAAATTAAGATTTGGATTGCTATGCAGTGGACCTTCTTCTATTTTTGCCTTAACATATATTTTGTCTGATATAGTCCTAATAAGGTCCATGTCATTTTGTTTTGGTTAGTATTTACATAGTACTATTATTTTATTTCCAGTATTTCTCTGTAGGTTTTTCTGTGTATCCCTGCAAATAGCCTATAAATACCAATTCCTAACCTTTTTTTGTTAATTTTGGTCCATTAACAATTATTGTGTTACTGGCCTGTTTACAATTATTTCTACAGGATTATTTTGTTTATTTCTCTTCTTTTTGCTGTTTCCTTTATTCTCTTTTACTGAGGTTTTGGTTTAACTAGCTTTCTTCTAATATTTTGGAAGATAATACATATTTTGAGTATGCAATGTTAAGTATTTGAAATGTATATTTATCTTAAAGTCTGAAGTTACTTCTAATTATCTCCTGAACAACAAAAGGAACTTAAAGTATTTAAAAATCCTACCATTCCTCCACTTACTGTTCAGTACTAACCAACATAGCTTATTATTGTGTACTATAGTTAGTATTAGCTTAGATTGAACACACACAAGCTTAACAATTTCTTTGCTGTTTTTTGGTAATTTAGACCTTTCTTATGGGTCACTGCCATTCATGGGGTATATCCTTCATACAAACTCTCAAAGGTCATTGGTACTAAAGTCAATTTTTGTTTTGGCAAAAAGATAAAAGATACACTGTGGGTACTTTTGTTAATTCCATATTAACAGCTGTTTTCTTCCATAAGTTTTAATGTATTATTGTACTACTGTCTTCTATTTAGAAGTCAGCAGTCATTCCAGTTGCTTCCCTTCGTATGTAATAATTATTTTTCCTGACTGGTTGATTTAAAGAGCTTCTGTCATTGGTCTTCTGCAGTCTCATTCTGGTGTTTACAGGTATGAATTTTCTGTTATTTATCATTTTTAACTTCCTACACATAAGGGTTCACACCTTCTACCTATTTGGAAAAACTCAGTCATTTTTTTGAGGTTAAAATAAATGCAAATTTTATTGAGATTATTTTTCCAGAATTTACAAATATAAAACTTGCCATGACATTGCACCTGATAAACTTTTGTATTGTTTCTAGTTATCTGTGGGAAAGAAAAATTAGTAATGCAAACAGAATAGATAGGGATAGTCACAGAGGAATTATGTTTTATAGAAAGAATATAAACAAAGTTCAAGAGTAATGACATCCATCATTAAATTTGTGGGACTTAAAAAATAAATAAATAAATAAATTTGTGGGATTTTAAATGAGAAGGTTTAGGATTTTTTTTTTTGTCTAAACAACAGAAATTTATTGTCTCATGGTTTTTTATTTTAATTTTATTGGTATAATTTATATTTACACAATAATCACATTCATCATAGGAAATTTGTACCTGCACATGATGGGAAAAGGAAAAGCAAGGAAGGAAAAATAAATGAGGAAAGAAGGAAAAAATGCAAACAGGGATTTTGTAAATAAGGAAAGGGAAGAAGTGTTGAAGAGAGGGGGGAAAAGGAATCGAGATGCGTCATGTACAGGTGTAAATTCCCTATGATAATTGTGATCATTGTGTAAATCTAAACTCAGCCGTTTGGTTGCCTTCTTTCTGTTCATTGTATTCTGTCCTCCTCAAACTCTGAGTCGGTAGGCGTTAGACTGAATCAGGAAAACAGAGGTGGGGCCAGGTGCATAGTTCAACAGCGAGACTTGAATATGGAGAAGTGGCTACAAATGTTTGGACACATCTGAAAGCCAAACGGGGCAGTGAGGCAATTTAAGTTCTAAATACCCCAACCTCTTGTCAGTCCTAGAGCCATGGGGGTACCTGAGGGGCAGTCTTACCCAGACTCCAGAGCTGTGGCTGTCTAGGCTTATGGCATTTCTGTCCTTCAGGAAGAGGGGACACAGCAGCTCATGGAGACACTAGCACAAAAAGAGAAAACAGGAGAGAATGATCCCAGGCTCTCAGTTTCTCCCTCCATCCTGTCTGCTGTTTGAGGCTCTCCTTTCTCAGAACAGGATACTTTCTCAGGACAGGATGGCACCAGGAGAGGGAGCATAGGAAATGCAGTTTTGAAATCTCAGCCCATAAGACACGAAGCATGGATGATGATATGAGGAACCGAGGGTAGGCTGATCACTCCATTATAATTTCCATTATTTCATCCCCATATATTGAATTCTGGGTAATTTTTTGTTTGGGTAAAATATATTTTACATAAAATTTATCCTTTCAACTTATTTTGAGTGTGTGGTTCATCGGTATTAAGTATAGCCACATTGTTGTAAAACCATCACCAACATCATCTCTAGAAGTTTTTATCTTCCCAAACTGAAACTCTGTACCTTTGAAATAATATTTCCTGTTCTTCCTTCCCTCAACCCTTGGTAACCATAATTTACTTTCTATCTTTGAACTTGATTGTGCTAGATTCCTCCTATGGGTGGAATTATACAATATTTTCCTTTTGTAATTGGCTTATTTCACTTGGAATGCCTTCTAGGCTCATCTGTGTTGTATTTAGCGTGTGTGTTAAGGACTTCTTTCCTTTTCAAATCTCAAGAACATTCCCACATCTTGTTTATCTGTTCATCTGTCAGTGGACATGTGGCTCACCTCTTCCTGTGGTTATTTATGCTTCCAGGAAGATGGACCTACCAATATCTCTGAGCTCATGTTTTTTATCCTTTTGGATATATATTCAAGAAATGGAACTGTTAGATCACATGGTAATTCTGGGTGTGTGTTGGGGAACTGCGCTCTGTTGTTGCACAGTGCTGAGCTATTTCACTTTCTTACAGTGGTGAGCATGAGTTCCAATTTCTCCACAATCTCCACAAAACCCTTTGTTTTCTGTTTTTATAATAGCCATTCCGATGGATTTAGGCAGTGTGCCATTGGGGTATTCTGTTGCATTTCTCTGATTAGTGATATTGAACACCATTTCATGTGCATATCGATCAACTGTGTATTGTATTTAGAGAAATGTCTATTCAAATCTTGCGCTTATTTTTAACAATGGACTGTTGTTTCAGTTGTAGGCGTTATTTATATAGCTCCATATCACATACATTATTTGCAAATATTTTTTATTTTGAGGATTGTCCTTCTAATTTATTAATACTGTTCTTTGATATGCAAAAGTTTTAAATTCTTACAAAGTCCAGTTTGTCTGTCTTTCCTTTGTTTCATATGGTTTTTTTGTCATATCCGAGAAATCATTGCCAAATCCAGTGTCATGAAGGTTTTCCTTTTTTTTTTTCTAAGGCTTTTATAATTTTAGCTTTCATAGTTAGGTCTGTTCTTCATGCTGACTTAATTTTTGTATATCATGTCAGATGAATTTTCAACTTCATTCTTTTGCATGTGGATATCCAATTTTTCTGACCCAGTTTGTTTAAATATTATTTTTTTTTCCCATGAAAGGTCTTGGCAATATTTCAGAAGTCAGGTATATAAGAGTTTATTCTAGGGCTCTCTGTTTTGTTTCATTGTTCTATATGTCTGTTTTTATGATTATTGTAGTTTGGTAGTAAGTTTTAAAATCAAGAAGTATGAGACCTCCAACTTTGATCTTTTTTTTTTTTTGGTACCAGGGATCGAACTCTGGACCTTGTGCTTGCGAGGCAGGTGGCAGAACCACTGAGCTAAATCCCTGGCCCCCCAACTTTGTTCTTTTTGCTAGATTATTTGAGGTTCTTTGCGATTCTATGTGAATTTGAGGATTTTTTTCTATTTCTTCAAAAATTTTGGGATTTTGATTGCAATTGCATTGAATTTATTTATCACTTTGGATAATATTGACCTATTTCGATTTATAAGCATGGAACCTATCCATTTATGTGTTATTTCATTTCTTTCAGCAGTGTTTTGTAGTTTTCAGTGTATAAGCCTCTCAATTTATTTCTAAATATTTTCTCTTTGATGCTATTATAGAATTATTTTCTGAATTTCATTTTTTATTGCTCATGGATGGTGTAGAGAAATGCAACTGACTTTTTCATGTTGATTTTTGTATCTACAACTTTGCTGAATTCACTAGTTGTGTGTGTGTGTGTGTGTGTGTGTGTGTGTGTGTGTGTCTATGTCTATGTATCTTCTTCAGGACTTTCAACATACACAGTCCAGTCATTTGTAGCCAGAGATAATTTTACTTTCTCTTATCCAATTCAAATGCCTTTTATTTCTTATTCTAGCCCAACCTCTCTGGCTAGGATTCCCAGTACAATATTGAATCGAAAAAGCAAAAGTGGGCATCTTTGTCTTCTTCCTTATTAGAGGGGAGAGGCTCTCAGTCTTTCTTTCACTGTTGCCTGCAACATTGGCAGTGGGCTTTTCAGGCATACATTTATTATGTTGAAGTAGTTTCCTTCTATTCACAGTCTGCTGAGTGTTTTATCTTGAAAGACATTGAATTTTGTCAAATAAATTTATGCATTAATTTAAATGATCTTGTGATTTTTCCCTTTTAGTTTGTTAATATGGTCTGTTTAATTGATCGACCTTTATATGTTGAGCCATTCTTGTAGTCCAGAAATAAATGTCAGTTGATCATGGCATGTGATCCTTTTAGTATGCTGTTATAATTCAGTTTCCTGATAGCATTTTGTTGATTATTGCATCAGTATTCAGAGAGCTGTTGATCTGTGGATTTCTTTTTTTGTTTGGATTTGTTATTGGCATAATGCTGGCCTCATAGAATGAGTTAGAAAGTGTGCCCTCTTTACCTTCTTTGAAAAATGTTGAGAAAGATTGGTGTTAATTATTTAAATGTTTGCTAGAATTCATCAGTGAAATTATCTGGTCCGGGATTTGTTTTGTGATTGAGAAGTTGTTGATTACTGATCCAGTTTTTGATTACTAGTTATAGTTCTATTCAGATTTTGTACTTCATGATTCAGTCTTATTTTGTAGGTGTTTGTTCATTCCATGTAGTTTAAAAATTTGTTGGTATATAATTGTTTATACTATAATCCTTTTTATTTCTCTGAAATCAGCAAGAACTTACCCTCTTTCATTTACAGTTTTAATCATTTTTGTCTCTTTTTCTCTTAGTAGGTCTACTTTAAGATATGTCATTTGTGTTGATCTTTAAGAATCAGCTCAGTTTCTCTTTTGTTTGTTCTCTATTTTGTTAATCTACATTTTTATCTTCATTATTTCCTTCCTTTTACTGCTTTTGAGTTTCTCTTATTCTCAATTTTTCTTCTTTTCTTTTTTTTAACATAAGAAAAGGTGATTTATTTGAAAGTGGAGAAAAAGGGGGAAGAAGAGAAATGATAGCTCTGGGTGAACGGGGAGGATTCAAAAGTGAAGTAAGTACTCCTTCCTTTCTAATGTTCTCTTTGACACCAACAAGTTTCTTCATCTTGAACCTTTTGCTGTGTTGTATTTTCATATGTCCAAGATATTTTCTAATTTCTCTTGTGATTTTTTTCTATCTCTCATAATAGAAGAGTTAATAATGTGCTGTTAACTTTCCGCATAGTTTTAAATTTTTCCAGTTTTCTTTCTGTTGTTGATTTCTAATTTTCTAATTTCATTCCATTTGGATCAGACAGATACTTTGCATGTTTTCAGTCTTTTAAAAAATTTAAGGCTGGCTTTGCAGCCTTATGTATGATCTATCTTAAAGAATATTCTTTATGTCATTGAGCAAGATGTGTATTCTCTTGTTGCAAGTTGACTATTATTAGAAAAGCATCAATTTCTTCCTTCAGTTCAATGTTCCTTCGTATATTTTGAATCTCTGATGTTTAATGCATGTAAATTATAATTTTTATCTTCTTGACAAATAAAATTTTATTATTATATAACTTCCTTCTTTGTAATTTGTTTTTGGCTCAAAGTCCCTTTTGTCTGCTATTAATATAGCTCCCTTTTTGTTGCTAGTTGCATGG